CACACACACACACACACACACACACACACACACACACACACACACACACACACACACACAATAGTATGTTTTATTTATGAACGAGGAACCTGTGCGCTGCTTTGTGTCTCTGATGTTTGCTGTTCTGATCCTCTGCCCCCCCCCCCCCCCCCCCCCCCTCCCGAACAGCTCTGGGTCCTTTGATTAGGCAAAGAGCTCCAGCAGAGGAGGAGGAGGGGTTTCTGGGTAATGAACAGATTATTGAGCATCGCAGAAACACACACTCACAAGGATGTACTGCTACAGTAGAATCCCGGCCGTGTGTGCACTTAACCTGATAAAAGTGGCCTTTTACAGGAGATCTATGAGCAACAAGACCAGGCAGAAGGACTCTAGTACATTTAGAGTGGATCTTCCAGGGTATCATGGGACAATATGGTGCCCAGTGCTTCCTAAGCATTCTAGCTTCTGACTTAAATAACCACAAAGATCCCAGATACCAAGTTAAGCCAAATGTTCCTAAAGTAAAGGTCTAAATAAATTATAGAGAACAGAAATAGATTTTTTGTTGATTATGTCTGGAAACCATCTCAAGTCCCCTCTCCTGCGTACTCGACCCTCCAATATTTCCCAACCTCACCTGCCTTTTGGGAAACTGGTTCAAATTTTAGAGATTATTCTCATGTGTTTTCACTGAGCCACATTTATTTATTCATTTATTGGTTCATTTTGAACTCCTGTGGCACACTGCCCTCTAGAGGACAAACCCAGCACTGCTGGTTAAGAGGGAGGATTATCCTCCTCAGTGCTTGGATTAACTAGAGTAAATGTTCTCACAGGGAGAGTTGCCAAGCATGTTTTCTACTCCATGCAGTGTTGACTCAGTGGTTTATTCCCCTGGCATTGATGTTTGATTTATTGGCTGCTGGGCTTTTTCTACATGACACGTATAACAAACTTACCATTTACTGTGTCAGCAGACACACATGGTTCTTACTCTTTTCTGCACATTTTATTGTTTTTGAACCATTTCCCACCCTTTATTCTCACCAGAAAGCGTTCACAATTAGTTATTTTTCAGTAACATTGTAAAGTTTGTATATTTGCACCAAAAGGAGAGTCAGAATGTTGTGGTTTTTCAGTGTTTGAGACTTGTTAAAGTATCTGACAGGACTTGGGCATCAAATGATGATGGAAAGGGTTTGATTAATCACTTTTCATATAACTATTTCGTATATACATCTTGCAACTTCTAAGAGAGAAAACTCCAAGTTGTGGACATTTTCTGAGCTTTTTCCATCCACTTTGACTGTAGTACCCATTATGACCACCAGATGGTGACAGACTACCTTTAAAGATTCTTTGGTGTGGAAGATTTGGATAGAAGAAAAAATCCGAATCTGATCCTATAGATTGATTAGAGTCATACTGATAAGCTGTTAAATGTTCTGCAAAGTGTGTGTGTGAAAACAACTTTTTAATAAAACAAAGCAGTTCTATGCAGATCCAAAACAACAATTCTCTGAACTTTTTCATCTCAAATTAAAGGAAAAGAAAATATCTTTGTGATGAAAAGGCGCAGAAAGAGTTATAAATAAATTACTAAAGACTGTGATAGAATAAAATGGGGAAGGTAAAATTTATTAGCATTACTATGACCTTAATTATAAATGAATCCTAAGGTGCATCATAATTTACAATAATAGTGATGCAATGGGTTGAGCCTTAAAACATAATTTTAAATTGATTGATTTTTCATTTTGAAAGGAATTTCAGCGTAAAAGTTTTAGTTATTTTGGGAGGAATAGAGATTTAAGGTTGCACATTGCAGTCTGTATGGCTGATGCCTTTACACACTCTTCGACTCATTTTTAAAGAGTAACGAAATGTACTTGAAACTTAAAATCAACAGAATAAACACCAAAGTCCTGAAAAAAATTACCTTTTGTTGTCCTAAACAGAACTTTCAGTCTCAAACAGGAAGCACGCTGACAGTCAACACGTTAACAACACATTTTAATGAAGTATCAAAGCTTTGTATTTGGACAGAAATGAAGGAAAGCTGCAGGGCATTTATGAAAACTGATTATTTTCAGCGAAAATCTGCAGAGAATCCATGCTCATTTTTCCCAAAAGCTACAGGAAAAGCCAGTTCAGGGGAACTGAAGAGCAGCATGCAACACCGAAGCCACAGGTTGGAGACCACTGAGCTGACCAAAGTAGCACTGGACCATGTTGAAAAATGTGTGTATTCTCAGAATGCTGGATCACTTCACTTGATGTCACCCATTCGTTTTTGTTCAAGATTCGTAGAAGGCTCCTTTCTTGGCTTTCTCATCTCCAGATAGCGGACCTTATTTTTCTGGTTCTTTACTTCCAGAGGAGAAAGACTGGTCACACTCTAACTCTACTGATACACTCCCAAAAATGACCAACGTTCAAAAGTTTGGTTTATATAGAAAGCTGGTACACGTAACACACCTTGAAATCCCTGAAAGCTCCCCTCTGTGGTTGTCAGTCAATAGGGCCCTGAATACATTTTTATCCATAGCTCGGCCCCACCCACTTGGTGACATGGTTCATTTCTATTGGATCAGTACACGGAAATGTGTACGGACCAAGCCCCCATAATTCGGGTCTGGATATGAAGCCAAACAGGAAGTGACAAAAATGGCAGTTCCACCCTCATCCGCTGGGGGCTGGTTTCAGAAGCGAGCAAATCCTCATTGACTCCCATGTTAAAAATACCAATTTCACAGCAGAAATAAACATGTTTACAGCCTGGTACCAAAACATGTTTTAGGTGTAATAGGTCTAGTTTATACTCATGACAACTCTGAGGGGGGTGAATTTTTTTGTCACTCTTCTGTTTAAGTGAATTAAATTCCCAAAATTCTGTATAATTAATGAGCATCAGCCCCACGTGACCGCAGAGCTAGCTCCGGGGAAAGGCCTCAGTCTGAGCCTCGGCCTCGCCTGAAAATTGTTTCGCCATTTTCAGTCTCTCAACTTAGACCAGTAGTTGTAGCGTTTGTGTATTCTTTTTTGGATATTATTTGTGCAATTGTTGGACAAAATGACTTACTGTGGCATTAATTGCACTAACAGAGCATCCAATGAGTCTCCACTTCATTTTTTGCAGTAAGTAAAATTATATTTATGTATTTTAGGTCACTGCTGCTCTTGCACTAGCTGAGCTTAGATTTTAACATGTACTGTTTAACCATGACATTTAAATGTAATAGGGTAAAACCCAGTGCATTTAACATAATGCTGCATTTTTGAAAATGGGTTGAAATATAACAGGTTGGTGGAACTGGGTTCCGACTATTGGTATTGTCTCCTCCCTTCAGCGGCAGCTCTGCACATCTCTGACCACAGCGGCGCCTTTCTGCTGCGCGGCTGCCGGCTTGTGGAGCTCTCGGTAGACCTCTGTGTTCTACCCGGTTCTCCCCAGCGGTCAGCCCGGCGTATCTCTGACTCAGAAGCTCTGGTGTTGTGCACAGTTAACTCTGGTTGTAGCTAGGTTGCTACCTCTGTTAGCTTAGCTCCCACCTCCGCGTTAGCTTTGGGTTAGCTTGTAGCTACATCGCTTCAGTTCGGTGGGTGTCATCATTTGATCCCAGCCATACAGCCCCACCCTCAGCTCCACCTCTTTTCCCTTTTATGGAATTGTCTGGGCTTGATGGAACCTGTTACTCGGTCAAAATGGCGGTGGTGGGAACCTCCCATTTTGGCGTAAAAACTTATTATTGGAGCCTATGGAAACGAATTTTCGAGTATGTTTGTCGATGGTACGGACATGGCTGTATGACATGTCTTCATACTATATGGAAAGTTGTGGATATAATCTGGGTGTTGTGGCTATTCTGAGATGGAAGAACAAACAGTGATATCCTCATTGAAGTGGACAGATTATTTCACACAGTCTGATAGGAAGCTGAGTGACGTCATGTAAAGTTACCCAGTAGTCTGAGAATATACAAATTATTCAACAAGAATCTTCAACATTTCGCAGGAACTTATTTCCACGTGTTTCTAACGCATCCAGCTCCATGAGCTGTCGACCCTCCTTCATTCAGGAAGGTTATCAGCTTAAAGCTAGGTCAACAATCTTTGTGGCTCATGAACTCTCACCCTTGAGGTGTCCTCTGCACTTTGTTCAAAATATTTTAGAAAATTATCAATCACTGTATTTTTTGTTTTACTTCATATTTTTTTACTTGCCTGAGGAGCGTGTAAGAATCTGTATATTTGCAGCATTTATGCAGAAATATGTAGACGTTCCTACAGGTGTTGCCCTCTCAATGACCTGTGAATGGTCCAGAAGTGGTAACATTTGCTGATGATAGTGATCTTTATGCCTGTGATTATGCTACATCAAATTTAACACATTGCAGCCGTTTTAAGAAGGCAACAGTGTACTTACTGGTTTAGGAAAAAACAAAAAACAAAACAAAAAAAAAAGATTCTATTCTATTTCTCCAAACTGAGTTCATTCCAGAATTAAAAATAGTTCTGAACTGGCTAATCTCTAACTTTCCACTACATTTCCGCTTTGTAATATAAACCCAGTCAACAACAGGCCCATAGTAGCCAATTTTACTCAAAAATTACAGTTTTTTTTGTTTTAAGTCACAAAAACAACTTTATAAAGATCAAAAATAGAATGCAAGATTGTGTTTGGAATTGGCAAAGCTCTGGAGTGATGCCGCCTGGCATTTTGTGTGAACTTTCTTTCCTGCAGGCGAAATGAAGGAAGCTTCATTCTCTACAATCCAAAGGTAACAACACACTGTCACAAGCAAAGCCAGCCTGGCGGCTTAAATGTCATCGTGGCCTTATGCTCTTCTTTTTCACACCTGAGGCATTAGAAAATGGCCCGAAAGACTGCTGAGATGCTTTGGTGATCGTGTCGCTTAAAACATTCTGTTTTTACTTTCTGTACCCCAGAAAAACGACAGAATTGGCTTTTGGGTGATGCATCTCTGAAACTGAAATGAAATTCCCTTCTTCTGCAGCGAGAAAAGCTGATCCACGAGCTAGAGGAAGAGCGACGCCTGAGACTGGATAGCGAGAAGCGTCTCCGGGAAGTGACGGAGGAGTCGGAGCTGGAACGGGCGCAGATGGTGTCGCTGCAGCAGCAGTTTTCCAGGTAAAAACTTGCCTAAAAGCTCAAAACTTAAATAAAAATTGATTTTGTTTTTTACCTTCAGTGAGAAGCATTATCTTTTTAATTAATTTATTTTATTATTATTATTTTTTTTATACAACTCAAGGTTCCAGCATAAGAACCAAGGTGATGTGGTGAAAGGAAGGGGTTTTGGTGATAATACGGGCTGCTGAATTCTGGACCAGTTGCAGTCCAGTTCCATTTCCCATCTTCCCTTCATTTCCAAAATTCTAGAGAAAACGTTGCATCTCAGCTGCACTCCCATCTTACCCGCAATAACCTTTATGAACATTTTCAGTCTGGCTTCCATCCCCACCGCAGCACAGAAACAGCCCTCATCAAGATCACCAACGACCTACTCATTGCTGCTGATTCTGGTTTAATCTCTATTCTCATTCTCCTCGATCTGAGTGCGGCCTTTGACACCATTTCTCATCCCATCCTCCTTAATAGACTCTATTCCTTAGGCATCACTCACACCCCCCTCCGCTGGTTTCAGTCTTACCTTACCGGCTGCACTCAGTTCATCCAGTTAAAATCCTTTTCCTCAAAACCCTCCCCAGTCAAGTCAGGCATGCCCCAGGGCTCTGTCCTGGGGCTCCTCCTCTTCATAGTCTATCTCCTCGCTATCGGCAATATCTTCCACAAATTGAATATCCAGTTCCACTACTTCGCGGATGACACCCAGCTCTACATTTCCAGTAAACCCAACTCAACTCTCCCACCATCCTCCCTTACCCTCTGCCTCTCAGAAATCAAATCCTGGTTCACCTCCAATTTTCTCAAACTCAACGGCAATAAAACTGAACTTCTTCTTGTTGGTACCAAATCCACCATCGCCAAATCTGACAGCTTTTCTTTAACTATTGACAGCGCCACAGTCTCTCCCTTCCCTCAGGTCAAGAGTCTGGGTGTCATCCCCAACAGCTCACTTTCTTTTCATGCTCACATCAATAACATAACTTGGTCAGCCTATTTCCATCTTCATTCCATAAACCGTCTCCACCCCTCCCTTACCCCTCACACTGCCGCCATTCTCGTCCACAGCCTCGTCATCTCCCGTCTCGATTATTGTAATTCACTTCTTTATGGTCTCCGCAAAAAACTCCATCATAAACTGCAACTGGTCCAGAATTCAGCAGCCCGTATTATCACCAGAACACCTTACTTTCACCACATCACCCCGGTTCTCCAGCAGCTTCACTGGCTTCCAGTTAAATTCAGGTCCATCTTCAAAATTCTCCTCCATACCTTCAAACCTCTCTCCTCCATATATCTCAGACCTTATAAGTGTTAACACCCCCTCCCGTTCTCTCAGATCTTCCTCCATCGATCTTGCTGTTCCTTCTGCCTGTCTCACTACCATGGGGAGCAGAGCTTTCAGCTGCTCTGCTCCCCATCTCTGGAACTCACTCCCCCCAGACATCAGGGGCATTGACAATTTCACCCTTTTCAAAACCAGACTCAAAACACACGTTTAAATCTGCCTATGACCTCTGATTTTATTGAACTGTTTCTCTCTTTGTTTTTTCTTCTTTGCATTTTATTGTTGTTTTATTGTTGTTTTAATGCATTTTCTGAATGTATTTTCTGTCAAGTGACCTTGGGTGTTCTGAAACACGCTTTTAAATAAAATGTACTATTATTATTATAAGAATGAGGTAAAGTATGGTGGCAGTAGTTTCATAGTATGGGCCTTCTTAATTAGTAGTAGTGGTAGTATGATGGTTGTAGCCTGACCCCTACTTCACATTGGAGGCATCAGCATTGTGGAATGGCAGTGAAACAGTTTACTCGTGAGCTGCGCTGTGTGCCAGTGCACACCGGGTGAATCTCAGCCGCGGTGCAGCTTCTCCGTTATTTCCCTCTCTGGACTTGCAACATCACAAGATCCCTCGAGACTTCAAAGGTCACGGTTGTTTATGCCATCGGCCATTTAACCAACAAGAAGGAAGTCAAGCTTGTTATCACTGTTTGATGTCATGATGTTGTTCCTCTCCATAGCAAAAAAATAAATAAAACATATAAAATTGCATTGCGGCAATAAAATTTTATTTTGAAAATTACCAGAAATTTTACACTGAAACAATATGTGATTTGCTGTCTAGCCCCATGTTAACTGCAGAAATTGACATGTCCCAGAAGCGGTTTGTGGCAAAAATAGAACCCTATCATATCTTCAGCTGTGCAGTAAGCCGCTTCTGGGATGCACCAGAAAATGTCCACGTCGTGGCAGGTTTGAATCATCCCATCGACCATTCGGCACCGCTGATGCTTCCAGTGTGAAGTAAATGGTGAGTCTTCATTCCAACGTAGGATTTACATTTCATCAGTGCAGCACAGTGGTGATAGTGTTATGGTTTGTAGCTATTTTGTTGCATTTGAAGTATTAGTGTAATTACTAATACACTGTAAAATCTGATTTGTTCCGCTTACTTGAAAAAAGCATGCAAACACTTAAAATAATAAGTAAACAGGACTATGCAATTATGTGTTGGAGCTACTAATACTTAAAGTAAGATAAACTGAATACAAACTAGTGCGAAGTACTTAGAAATTTGTTTTGTGAACTAGTTGTATATACTTAAGCAGTAGTAAACTGTAAGCAAATATTTCAGTACTTTGTACTAGTTTGTTTTAGTAATACTTACATTTAAGTGTATTTGACTTTATATACATCAGTAGTTCCAACATATAGTTACCTAGTGCTGTGTACTTATTATTTTAACTGTATAAAAATTCTAAACAGAACAAGTTATTTCTGTTGAATGAATTGTCAAAGAGAAATAAAAGTAGTGTGTTTAATTTTTAGTCAACCTCTTTTTGCAGATATGCAAAACTATGGATCCATTTCCCCAAGAAAGATATTGTGTTTTGGTTTGAACTCTATAATTGGATTCTCTCATCTAATTTTAGATGTTTATCCATTGGCTTTGCATCTTTCTAACCTTTGACATCTTCTTCAGAGAACATGTCATCAACAAAATAATCAACGGATTGGTTCTTTTTGTGGAACACATCCAGAAAATGTTGAAAAAATGCTTTCACTGTAACTTTTGTGACCTCTGCATGCAGACCTTGTCCTTCCATAGCGCAGCCATTGAACCGTAACCACAAATCAGAAGTCATATGCCGTAATTAGGCGATAGGCATTCAGTGCTTCTCTTGTGCGGGATTTCTCATTGAATGCTTATCTTCTCATTAAAGTTGGTGGAGAAAATCCTGCATGTTTTAATGGTCCCAGCCTAACGGTGCTGACGAGGGCAGAGCCACCGTCTGTGGTGGTAATTGTGGGGGGGTGTTGAAGTATTTAGAAGCCATTGCCAAGATTTATCACATATTTAAAATGGTCCAATGATGCCTCTGAACGGCGTTTCCCTCATTTGGTTAGTGCTTGAGAGCTGCTAAGCTTTTAATGTCATGCTCGAGGGTCGTGAAGCAGCAGTTTTCCGAGGGGAGTAATCATAATTCTGTTCAATTCTCTTGAGTTAAACCAGTCAGTGGAAAGTTGTGTAGAATGTGACCTATCTAGGGTCTCCTCCAGCTGTTAAAGCCAAATCATAACGAGGCCTCGTTGTCTGAAGCAGTTTTTATTTCCTACATAGCTGGCGGCACCTGTCTACATCCCCTATTTGGCTTTAGTTGATGACATGGTGGACATAACTCGCGGACTGATTTTATGTCAAGCAAATCCGATCGTATCTGAAGCGATACAAACTCCCTCAACTCCTAAAAAGTAACAGCGAGTGATTCTGCGATGGATTAGCAGATAAGAGAGCAGCAATAGGAGAAGGTACAGCAATTCTGTGAAGAGGAAAATGTTGATTGGGTCCTGCACAGGTTTCCACGGAGACGGATAGATTTGTCGGGCCTAGGAGGGGTCGCTTAGATGGATGGTTCTCATTGGGTGTCAGGCATCGAGGATGTGGCTCGGTGTTATCAGAGCAGAGTCTGGTTTCATTCCACTGGTGCTTCTGTGTCATCAATGGATTGTTTTAATTCCTGCGAATCTGATTGTCTACTTCTGAAAACTTTTAGTTTTTATTAAGTTTAGACTTTTTTTGTATTAAGCTTTTGCAGTGTTCATCGAAATCTCCTTCAGGCATTTTGACTCCATTTAGATTATTACGAAGTCCTTCACCTCCTTGCCTCATCGGACCATGACAGGTTTTTGCTCAGTATTTGCAAAGAATTGTCTTCTTCCTCTTCTTCACTGACAAGCTAACAGGATTCATTCTCACTGTCAACATTCTAATCTTTAAAAGATGTATAGAACTTATCTGAATGTGAATGAGTGCTGCTACCTGGCTCCTCAGTGGATTACCATGCTAATCTGTCATGTCAGGACTTGATAACAGATGGGACACCATTGAGGTGGCTTGAGTTGACAACTCACACGGCAGTGAAAAGCAAAAATTCGTCCAGGCTGCATATGACAAATGTCTTTCTGTACTCTACTGGTTTATGCATTCACACGCCTCCCACATAGATCTACACATGCTGCAGCCTCTGCAAGTCGTCCAGCAGCCATTTGCATCCCTGCTTTGGAATCCCATCCCATATCTCCTTATTGATTTATTGATTTAGATGTAATATTTGTTTCATGTTAAGGGAATTGAAACTGCAGTTTATTGACGTCTTTTCAAAATAACACCCACAAATCACGTTAAGCGGGCGTACCAATCTTTTAAAAAGACCGGGATCAGTTTGACCTCGGGCAACAATTGATTTGTGTACGGCTAATTAATCACAGTTTTGCTTTGAGCCATGGCGATGGAAGGGAGACTGGGCCCGACTGAATTTGATGGTGAAAGCTGGCATTTTTGAAACTCACTGAGTCAGATTTGAGTAAACGTGTTGTATTTGAGCTTGAAAACAAACCTCTATGCCTGATTGTTCTTTTATCCAATAAATCCCAGAACTAGAATAACTTTTCTCTGAAGTTAGTGACCACTCAGCTCCAGACATAAGTGTACACACAC